GAGAGAGAGAGAGAGAGAGAGAGAGAGAGAGAGAGAGAGAGAGTTGTTGTTCGAGAAAATAATCTTTGTATCAACGATGAGCTCTTTAAAAAGATCGACAAACCAATCGACCAGAGAAGGTGCCGGAGGTAGGAGGCACGCGCTCACCGGAAACAGCTCGAAGAGCTTGAGGAACGTCGTCCACACGACTACAGCGCCTGGTTCACCGCTTCGCCACAGATCCAAATACGAATTGAGGAGCATCAGTTTGGAGGGCACCAAAGTTTTACCATGGACGGCACGGTGAGTTTATATATTCTTCCTTATTCCAATATATTTTATTTAATTGCAAAGAAAGCAAGATGTAAGTTAATTATTGAAAAATATCGTGATTCAATTTGTCCTCTATGATGTAATTTGAACAATTTATTCTTTTGAATAAACGGATATAATTCAAATTATATGGATCTTACTTTAATCAGAAAAAGATCTCATAAATCATCGATGAAAGATTGAAGATTAAAGGGAAGAAAGAATAAAAAAAAATTTCTACACTTTGTTTCAATAAAGATTTCGCTTTTTTCTAATGCGTCTTTACATTTGCATTAGAAATACATTGCATTATGCTTGAATTGCTTTTTATTAATTTTTTTTTATTTTGTATTCTGAAGCAGTATTTTTAATGAAGAGTAATAGGTAGCCACTTAAAAGATCAATGAAAGCATCAGAACACCAAGAACAAAAGAGGTAACGATGAATAGGTTTCAAGAGTTGGTCTTCATGCTTTAACTGTGTGGAATTATCGATATGTCGATATTCTCGTAACGTGTTTAATTATCTCAATATTGAACTTGAAAATATCGCATCATATCACGAATCGGGCAAATTTGACACGGAATAATTCAATTATTTGGTATAAAAGATATTTTCCTTCGTATCGAGATACTTTCGAAGCGAGAATTTTCAATTTGGGCGAAATTTAAATAATTATCGCGTGTGTAATGAGCGTCGATTGTTTTCAACATGTTAGAAATAAACGAATTTCGATAAAAAAAAAAAAAAATGTTCAACGTGTCGAATCGAAAACACATACAATTGTTGGGAAACAATTTTTAAATTAGAAACAGATATCGACTTTGAAAATCTAATAAGGCCAAGGTTGACGTGTTAAGATCACGAAGGATCGTGCACGTGAATACATGTAAAGCGGGGGAGTTTGTAATTTCCGTGATTGCTCCGCTGCAACAGGTAAAACTTTGGCTTGATGTTAATTCCAAATACCCGACCCATTGCTCACAACGCTCCCGTTTTGCAATAAAAGATAAAACTTTCTCGAAGCATTCGACGTAATCCATTAACTGTTTAGAGGCAATCAACTTGAAATCTGGGGTTAATAAAATAAAGTCGTTTCTGCGAGTTCATGGAAAACATTAATCAAGGGAATAACAGATTTACTGGGAAAATAAAACCGATTTATAAATAAAAATTAATTTAAAATAAAAAAAAAAAGAAGAAAAACAAATAATTATATATAGGTTATTTTAATTGAATTAAATTTTCAAATTGATATTTAGAATTTGAAAATATTTTAACGTTCTACCGTTGTTACACCAATAGGATGAACATAAATCGAAGAGCCGGTTTTCATGGCAGCGTACTATATATATATATATATGTATGCAGCGAGGCACGTGTTCGATAGAATAAATAGAACATCTTCTATTGTGTAATTCTTTATAGATTATATCGATTCTTAGACTCAATATGAAAGTTGATATTAAAAAAGATTTATAATAAATACTCGACAATACACCATCCAATCGAAAATATACAATTGTCGTACAAATTTCATATAAAAACTTCACTGAAACTTCCCTCGTGATTTTCAAAGTTATAATACCGTATTACTTACATTCGTCAGCTTACAGCGTACATATAGTGTATACTAAGGAATACACTATACCAAAAGAAAAAAGAAGAAAAAAAATTGCAACGTCGCAGCGCCATCGATACAAACTAATCTTTCTTCAATCACAATAAAACATGTATGCCGGTACACAACAACCATCGATTCTCAGATAATCCCGGTCTGAATAAAAACGAACTTCATGCTTTTTTATTTTATTATGAAATCGAGCGTCTCTTTCTTTTAACCTATCTGCCGCTACATATCGATCTTACCATGTCCGATAAACCGGTCGACGTACAGTTCGCGATCGAGCGAACGCGCACTGAGGCTTCATTGGTCGTCGCCGTTAGTAACAACGATGGACAACGTATCGGATTTTGATGCTCGGCTCTTTATAATTAACTCTTTTGCTATCGGCCCGACCGAAGTGTCCCGACCGTCGATACACTCTTTTGTACCGCGTAGATCAATTTCGATCACGCTCGACCAAGTGGAAGTCGACTGCAGCGCATCTCGACTCGTCGATAGAGAGAGAGAGAGAGAGAGAGAGAAGGAAAAAGAAAAGGAGATCGAAGCAAACAGGGAGCGTAGAGGTTAGTAAAACAGTAACGCGAGGGACAACAATGCGCAGAAATATCGAGAAAAGCTCGAGTTAGAAAAGATACAACAGAACGAACATAAAGTCCTAAGAGGGTTGGAATAATCGGTGATCGGATACGAGATGCATACGAAAAATACTGAACGAAAAGATCAAGAGGAAAAACGTTTGGTGTTATGTGTGTGTATATGTGTATACAAGGGTTAGATATGGGAAGCACTTGCGCACGAAAACGAACGCAAGAGAAATAGACCGTTTCCGATTACTTTGTCTCGCGAATATATCGAGAATTGCGTCAATTCGATGACCTGTATTTGCATTTACATACATATATTCACACATACACACATACATACATATATATATATATACACAAATGCAAATACAGGTCATAAAATGACGAATAGATGAAATCAATAAATTTTTGTCAATTTTTTTAGTAAAGTTACTTATTAAAAAAATTTACTAAATAATACTAAATAATATAGTAAAATTAAATAGGTAATATTTTGCTCTGTTCATCATTCAATTTTAAATATGATTGAATTAATTGTAGTTTTTATTGCAGTTTAGAAAAAGTTCTTTTTTATGTGATTTACAGCTTGGAAATAAATTAATTTGGGGATAAAATTTGTATAACATAAGATCTATTTGTTAATAAATTTTTTAAATATTGACGATATATAAATTATTTTATTCGCGTTTTCAATAAATTTATGTTTATACATTATTCTATGTGTAATTCTTTTTTTAGATTAAATTTCTTGAAATGCAAATATTTAATATTCAACTTTTTTTTTCTTAAAGCTTAACGCCTAACGTTTATTACTTGACATTTAACATTTTATACTTGATAATTTACATTTAATACTTGATACTCGATATTTGACACTTGACATTTCTGTATCCATTGCATCTATTTTAAATCTATATTTCATTATAATATAATAAATTATGCTTTGGTTAAAAAGAAATCATCGAAGAAATACTATATAGAACAATGTAATTTTTATATTCCGCGATATATGACTTGCAGCCCAATCTAGATAATGAAGATACCCAAAGAGAATATTGTAAATTCTATACTGAATGCATGTAATAGCTTCAGATATCATTTTTTAAAGAGTAATCATTTTTAATATAATATTTCTAATTTTTTGAGTAAAAATTTTATTTAATCAAGAATTATACTTTAAAAAATAATAACATCACAAAATCTCATCATGAGAAAATAATTATGCTTCGAAAATCTATGTAAATAGATTTATACAATAAAGATAAATTATTAAAATTAATTTAACAATTAAATAAATTTTAAATTTAGAAATTAAAATTTTTTAAATAGAAATTGAAAATACTTTAGAAATAGAATGATATATACGAGATCATTGTTTTAAGAATAATAATTTAATATACATATTTTTCACTTAAACATTAATATCGTAGTTTTGAAAGAAAAATAATGAAAACATATGACAACAATTAATCTGTGCTCACGCGTCAAAAGCAAATATAGACAAGGAGAGCAAATAATAAGAGGACAGAGATCAAAAATTGTGAAATCAGTACCATTTTTAAAATGTCGTAGATGAAACATATATAAACAATGAAAACAAATAGTTAAAAAAAAAATAAAAATAAAATAAGAAATAACTATAAATGTCATCTTTTACGTGTCATATTTTAAAGAATCATCTTTTATTTAAGAGATGTCATGACGATCATTTTTTATCCTACCTTATCCTATCTTTAAAGAAATATTTTTGAAATTCCAAGAGATGGCGCTAACAGCTAATTCTTACCTTATCTTAATATTTGCTTCCCTTGTATGTTTTATTTGCGATTCTAAAGATGGCGCTGATTCCACAATTTTTAATTTATTTTTGTCTTTCTTACTATTCTTTCTCTTTCTCATACTTGTTTTTTTACACACAAATAAGGCAAATATACTTTATATTCTTTCAAACATTTATAGAAAACAAACATTTGTGCATTCATATTGCTATTCATTTATTATTCCATATAACAAAGATAGCAATCAAATGCTAAAAAAAAAAGAGAAAATAAGTAAAAATAAGAAATGTTTATAATTTAAAATCTTATAATTCTAATAATATATTTTTTAAACTTTCGATATATCGATATTTTGTTGTGTTATTGTAGTGTTATTACATAAACCCTATTATTTATAATTATATATTATATAATATGTGATAAATAAATAAAATAAATAAATTAAGATTTAATAATATTATATTTAAATCTGATTTTTTACGCAATCGATAATTAAAAATTTAAAATAGAATATTTTCAAAATGAAATTTATAAGAAATTAAAGAATAAAATAAAGAATCATTACATAGAAAAAATAATAGTATTGAAAACATGACGAAACAATCAATAGCATATATAAAACGAAGATTCAAGAAATGTATATACGTATATATGTATATATATATATAGAATCACCTAATTTTGTAAGCCCGGAAGCAAATCATAATCAATAAAAACAGTTAGCTCTTCAATGTAATTAAAAAGAAGCAGATATTTTTCACTTGACAAGACAAAAATTTTATTAAAACCCGAAAAAAGAATGTCTCCATTATTTGAAAAAAAATATGAAAAACGTAAAAAAAAGAAAAAAGAAATATTTGAAACAATTAAAAACTCAATGTGAAAAATTACGATAAAGATATATAATATCTAAAACGCAGAATCCCGAAAGAAGAAAAACAATACGGTAAAGAAAGAAGAGGAAGAAGAGGACGCCATCAGCCGGTAAAGAAGAAAAAGACGGCAAATGATCGCGAGCAAAAAAGACGAAACTACTGTGGTAAGACAGAAAGCGCAAGAGAAGCGCAGAGACGGGAGGTTAGTGGGGGTCGGAAAAGAGAGCTAATGAGCTCGACGACGCGGCGCCAGTCGTCGAGTCGCCGTGTTACTACGAGTACTTGCTCTCTCATCGTGGCTTGCTGCGTCCCCATTTGAAAAGGGTCGTGTCCTGTCTCTGTCAGTAGGGGTTGCAGACCCGTGGCAAACCCGTCGGTTGTCTTGATGTTCGTTTATCTAATTATTCGATCATCTTGATCTGTTGGATTTTGTATCAATATTTCACTTATCGACGAAATAACATCATTCTCATCGCGTGTTTTTTTTCCATTTTTTTCTCTTATATATTTTATTTCTTACAAAAATATGAAGAATCAGTGTTCGAGATTGAGGTCGCCTAGACACGAGTTTATGGATTCTCAAATACAGTGGCTGTGCACAGCTATTATAATCGGATGAATCGTTCATTGGCGGTGATCGTCTCGATTGGAAATTCGGCTCAAATTTGTGACAATAATTGCTTTTGTAGAAGCAATGCACATCGAGAAAATTGTTCGGTAATTGTGTGTCGCAGATAATGTTATAAGAGAATAATGTTTTCTCAGGAGACAGTAACGCGCGAGCGATCGGGCGCGTCTTTGCAGGTCGAGGACCTTTCGGTTTAATTATTCTTTTGAAAGATAATCCAAGATTAATTTTCAATTATTCGACGATTAAATAATAATAATCATGATAATAACGAAACGAAAAGTAGCATCGTGAAATAATAAATTTATTACTTGACAATTTCTTAATATTTTTTGAAAAAAGTTTACAGTATTACGAAACTTGTAAGTATTTAAAATATTATTTTATATTTTTGTGAAAAAAGCAGGAATGTTTTAAATGGAAATAAAGAAAATTTTAATATTATTAAAATATTCATAATTTTCTGAAGATTCTACCATATTTCTTTTTGATATATTTATTTGTATTATATCAATTATATTAAATATTATGATTATTTTTACAATTATTATTTTTTAAGATGAATTATTTTGTAATATAACAATTCGAAAATTTTAAAACACAAATGGTTAGAACTAATATATGTCGCGTAAAAATAGAACGAAAAGAATAGAATGTAGTGTTATATCATTAGTCTTTTTAATGAGCAATTGCACACATGTGCAATTAATAATTCCAACATAACAATTATATTAATTGATTTCTTAAAAATTAGATGAAAATGTATAAAATTGAATTAATTATTATAACCAATTTGTATAATTAATAATAATAATAATTTATAGAAATTTAATAAAATCATTCAATTAATAGTATATAGAAATAAATTTTATTTCCATTAATTATTTATTTCATGACAATATGCATGCATTTCACATATTATATTTTATGAGACGAAACTCGGTTTTATATTATAATGATATTACAATCTAAATGAAATAGAATTATAATTTAGATTTAGTTAAAGATTATTTATTTTTGAATTTTGAAACAATTTATTAAAATATAAGTAATATAGGTAATTTAATTTCTTCATGACGCAAAAATCAATTTACAATATTTATCCGTTATATTGTCTCTTGTCTCGGATATATTTGAATATCATTTCTATTATTAATATTAAATATTCTTATGGATTTATTGATGCGAATAATTTCATATTAAAATCATATATCATAAATTTCTTCGAATGTTTGAATCTTTCTTCGTTTTTCGCTACGCTTGTCAGTCGCAACGTTCGTTTACAAAGATAAAATTAGGTTAGAATTTCATGTCTGTAATAGCTATGCTTGCCACAGTTGGTTCCGCAATTGTGAAAGAGAAAGAATATAACGAATAAACATTATGTAGAGAGTTAATAAAATCCACCTATCAATCATCACAACTTCATTCAACATCAAAGGTCTCGTTAAGCGAAAAAATGAAAGAGAGAAAAAGAGAGAGAAAAAAAAAGATGATAAAACGACTCGGTCAGTGTCATCGATGCTCTCTTCTCTTTATTATGTAGACTTGACGATCCTCGAAAAGGTTACGGACCTCGGAAAACTCGAACAATAATATCGATGAAACTCGGTCAATGATATTGATATTCACATGCGTCTGAGAGACAGGATCTTTGAAAGGGTTGTACGATGGAAGTTTATTGATGGTTTATAGTTCACAGAACTTGGCATCAATGCTATTAACCCATGGGGTTCAAGCAGCTACATAGAGATCAGAGAATTATTCGTTGCCAAATGAATTTAAACGGTACATAAAAGATATAGGAATTTTCATTTTATATTTTATTGTGATGATAGTGAATGTCTATAAATTAAATTTTTTCATTATATTTATTGTGTAACTCTTCGATTTGGTTATCGATTTAATCATTTTGAATCAAAAATAAAGAGTATATGGATTTTTTAAATATTCAATATTCAAATTGATAATTGATGATTTCTGGTCATTGAAAGCTAACATTAAAGTATATAAAACATTCAATATATTTTTATATTAATATTTAGAATTGGAATGTTCATACATATTTTCACAATAATTTTCCTCTTAAAAGTTGAAAATTGAATTATAAAATTATGTAATATTAATTATAAAATTTTTTATAGAAAAATATTTATTATTAAATAGGAAAAAAATTATTCTTAAATACAATTATCAGTGGCTGTAAAAATATTAAAAATACAGAATAACAGTAGTAGTTTTATAAAAAATAATTTTTTTTTTTGCAATTCCGTAAAATAATTTCCATATAGCAATTTTATCAAACAAATTTTCATTTTATCGTTCAAAAATATATTTTTCGTGAAAATGCGAATCACAAAAAGTAAAAACTCGTTGAGCTATGTAAAATTCCTTTTATCTATTTTTTGTAAATTTATTCAAAAGAATAGAAATATGTTTGTTTCAGTTTTATAATTACATTGTTATACAATGGACCCAAAAATACTGAAAAAAATTATACAAAATGTATAAAAATGAATAAATGAAGAATAATAAAAAAAATAGATATATTCTTTAGTGTGTTAGTTTTTCAGAATTATTTTATACTTTAAAAATTTTAAATTTATATATAACTTATATATAAATTTAAATATAATAAATATATAATATATATTATATATAATTATATATAATAAATTCGGTTTATTAATATAATGTTTATCGAATTTTTTATTGAACATGTTTTGTAATATGTACTATATACAATTGGCACAAGTAAAGCTTTCGATGGCCAAAGATATCTTGTTCTCTAACTGTTCAACTGAGATAGAACAGGAAAACGAAAATTCAGCATAAATTACTTTTCTAAAATTAATCTTTTTTTAGAAAAAAATCTGCAAAAATTTTTCCTCATGTTTAGAAAATCAAACTTATCAAAAATTAATTTTCAAATTAAATATAAATTTAAAATATAAATAAAAATTAAATTAAGATTAAAATCATTGATTCAATTCAGAGCATTGTTTTAAATACTTACAAGTATAAATTAGCATTAAAATTAAATTATTAAAAAGAATAAAAGAATGTTAATAAATAACATAAATAACATCAAACATAAACAAGATCCTTCGTTCATGAATAATATTAAACGATTATAGTAACGATAATGCCCGTCAAATTCAACTTCCAAAAGTCAACATTGAAGATCTCATGAAAGAATCTCAATCAATTTGAAATTAAAAAAAAAAAGGAGAAAAAGAACTTTCGTAAAACAAGTTCACAAAGATGTTATGCTTGGACATGAAGCTTGTCTCTCGTTTGCGAGGAGTCTCGTTGACGAGTAACTCGTCCACAAACGTGTCACCGGTCTCCTCTTTGGCGACCTCGACCTCATCGACGGGTGTCGGTATAGAGAAATGCAAACGAAGCAAAGGAAGAAGAAAGAGCACTGGTGGTGGAAACGGGAGCTCGGTAACGGAAAGCGATAGCGAGGAAGAAACATTGCCGGCTGCGCATGAGATGATGCGCAGAAACAGGTCGAGATCGGTTTGTGTGTCTGCCTTGTCTTCCGCACAATCGAGATTCCTTCATCGGCGGGCCAGTCATCATGTGTACGTTTCTCAAACGATAATTTAATTCAGGGGTAACAAATTTTTTTCCCATAAGCCGCAATTAATTGTTTTACTTAATCACTCAATTCCTCTACCATCGGTGTATAATTGAAAAATGAAATGACGTTCTAAGTAGTTTGAACATATGAACATTTACATTTGTCCACGAACAGTGCTAAGAATGAAATTAACTTTAAATCCTATCGGTTCTTTTTCATTGTCTTTTATATTGATTGGTATATTGACTGATATTGGTCGAAACGTTATCATTACTTGAATGTTATCCATAACTGTCCATATTTACGTTTACGTTTTACACAGGCATAATAAATATATTATTCAATAATTTAATATGTATAATCCAAGTATATTATTTATATATCTATTTATTATAATTTAGAATGATATTATATATGTGTTTCAAACGTTATTGAATTATATTTTACAAAACGAAGAATATAGTATATATCGTAACAAAATACATGACAGGAGTCACATTGTGTATCTCGTTCAACGAATCGAGTAAAAATCAATTTGCGATTATCTCATAGATGCTTAATCTCTGTGAGATTATATTTTCTCCTAATAACTTTGCTGGATTATATTTTTTGTTTACGTGTAATGATTCTGTTAAATTTTAGCGGAAATGAAAAAATTAAAAAATATAAATCAAAATATTAATATTATAATTTTGATTTATTATTTTCAAAATGCACAAAATACGCCAAATATATTTATAATTTAAAAATTAACGAATATTATAAACTATTTTTATATAACTACTTCTATATTAAATTAGCAAAAAAAATATTTTATCGATACTACAAAAGTTTCAACAACTTTAGCAAAAATAATTGCAATCAAGTACCTTTTATATAGAAAGAATTTAGATAGATAAGATGTTAATTGATGCAATCTAGATCCTTTTTTTGCAGGTTGCCCTCATTAACCTAGATATCTTGAGTTGACAAAAAGCAAGAAATATCGGGGAAAACTCGTTAGAAAGAACTGTTTCTTCGTTTTTGTTTTGATCGCCTTTGTTAATCTGAAATGTGGCATTAAAAAGCAATTTGTCAAGTGATCCTTGAACGTTATATGATGTTTTTAGGTCTACCACGGACGCTATTTCCAGGCGAGGTGTTCTCTCCAGACGATATTACGGCAGCGTCGAAATGGTGAGTTTTCAATTTATGCGTACATATTTATAAAACCGGTGGACATGAAATTTCAAAATAAGTCGAAGTTGAATAACTTCGAAACGACCTAATGGTATAAGCGACCTCTATTTGTCCACGCCGTTAAAGGAGAAGCGAGTACGAACGATATGTTGATGTTTTGATCTTTCTTCTCCATCCTTTTTTACGTTTCGTGAAATACGAAACTTCGCTCGAGCCATATTATAGATTAAACTTCGACTCTATTATCCCCGGTTTTTCGACTGTTTTCGATTATTCGACTTTTTACCATAATCTTTTCCTTTATCATTGTCAATGTCAAAATTTACAATTGACAATTGAAACAGTTCGCGAAGAAAGTTAATTACGAAAGAATTACGCGAAAGGGGTCGAAAGAGAGGAGAGAAGAGGGCAAGGGTCGTAAAATGACGTTCATTTCGCCAGCTTTCCATGCGTAACGATGGCCTCCGAAACTGGAACACAGTCTCTCCATCTCTTCCTTCCTCTTCTTCGTATTCCACGCGATCTAATGTTGGCCCGCTTGAAATCGTCTTTCAGCTGCCGCAAATCGAGCAAGACGGGTCTGACAATGGGAGAAGATTTCGAGTAGAGAATGGCGATTCCCTTGGCGAGAAGGAGGAAGTAAGAGAAACGCATAATTACCTCTTCTCGCATCCCTCATGTTCTTCCTTTCTATCTCTATATTTGTGAAAGTTAGCACTTTTGAATTGTCACTTTTTATCGTTAAAAATCGTTAAGATGTATTGGTATGACACTAGTATTTTATCATAGATAATATTTTCTAATAAGTGAAATATTTTTATTTTAATTTTTTTTTCTTTTGCAAAATTTAACGTGATGAAACAAAAATATTGGATAATTAAATATATCGTTGATAATGAAGAAACGAAAATTGCGTCAAAAAAAAAAAGAGGAACAAATTCAAATTATTGACGAAAAATTGAAAAAAAAAGACAAAGTCACATCCTACGCTTGTATTTTCATTTTCTCTTCCGCCGTTTGGTTATTGATAAAGTCGGATTATATTTCTGGTTGAACTGATTTTGAACATGTGCAGATGTTCGGATCACCGAGTACGCCAATATTGGAAAATCCTGAATATCAGACTCGTTGGTACTTCAAGTACTTTCTCGGAAAACGTGAGTAGAGTGTGCTGCTGATATTTTTAAGAATTTTAGATAAGTAAATGCATTAGATAGCAGTTCAACAACAGCTGTTCAGTTCGTTAGTTTTTTTTTTTTTTTTTTTTTTTTTTTTTTTTTTTTTTTTTGTCTTAAATTTCATGCAACGATCTATTTCATTTATTTAAGAATTTATTTAATATTCGTTCATGTTCATGATACCTAGTAAATGCAGCTTTTTTTTATAATTTTTTTTTTATTAATTCAAGAATATTTTCAATTTTGTTTATTATTTTTAATATTTTCTTTTTTTTTTTTAGTGCATCAAAATTACGTTGCTGCGGATCAAGAGAGGAATCCTCTGTTTCTCTCAGTTGTGACAAGTGAAGTCAGTGATCAAAGCGTACCACATTACAGAGTGATTTTATGGCGGAAAACCGTGAGTAAAATAAACTAGCGAAATCTTTGACATCAAAGAACTCCAATTCCCTTCATTTAATCTAAATTATTTTATATAAAGTATAAATTTTTTATATTTATCATATAAATGTTAAATGCAAAGAGTGAAAAGATATTATGAAAAATTGCAAAAGGATTATAAATTTAAAAAACGAGATTTCTTTTGCAAATTTTAGAAAATTAGTTTTATTTTTAGACTACTAATGTATATATGTGTATATACAATTAAGATTGTTTTGAGATAGACAATATATGAAGTGGTTACTAAAGAATAGAAGATATAAAAAAATAGGAAATATTTTAGTGTTATAAGAAAAAAAAAAAATTAGAATCTAACGACAATTAGAATTGTTATTTATAATTATAAATAAATGAAAAAATAAAGAAATAAGAAAAATTAATGAAAATTATAGAACGATAAATAAAAAGAAATGATGAAAAAAATTTAGGGCGCGCAGAAGATATCGCTGCCGTATTCTGCAAACAAAACAATGACAATCAGACAGATCCTGAGGTAAATATCGTGCTATTTCGCTCGAAAAATCGAAGGTGAACGGTGATTGGTGATTCAAATTTCAGTAATTTCTTTGGACTGGAGAAGCTCGACAAGGCACCACGTGAAATATTTTCTCCAGAAATTCAAAAGGTTGGTTAATTAAACGAGAAATCCTATCAATAACTAGAAAATAATCCTTTTTGCGAATAATCGATATTTCAAAATAAATTCGTATGCAGAATGCTAATGTATTTATTGATTTTTAGAAAATCGCGTCGATAGGTCAAAATTTTGTGTTTCAGGATCTGCTCTTATTGGAAGAACAAGAAGGCTCTGTCAACTTCAAATTCGGCGTGATATATGCGAAAAAAGGGCAAACAACCGATGATGAGATGTTGTCTAATGGTAAACGATTAAAACTTCAAGTTTAATAATCCGATAAGTTTTCTTTTAGAGAGACTTGATTGATCATCAACAACAATGGTGATTGTATCCATTTGAAAATGAAACACATTTATTTCTTTTTTTTTATATTTTTTTTTCTGGTAATAGAAAAAAGTAATTAGAATTAATCGAATTTCTTTTTAGAAAATTAAAATTACATTTTTTACATTCAAAAGATTGAATTATTTATTTATCAAAATTATTTTTATTATTATATGTGATTCGAAATATAATAAATATTTATGATATATCAAAGAGACGAAATATGAAAAGGAATCTCTATATGCTTCATTTACAGAAAAGGGTAGTCCAGGCTTCGACAAATTTCTCGAGATTCTGGGCGAGAGAATACGACTAAAGAATTGGGACAAATATCGTGGTGGTTTAGACATAAAAGGTATTTTTTTTCCAGTCATATAGATATGTTACATAGAATGTTACTTTGAAACTTTTATCTTCGATATCGATTATTTCAAAAGCTCTGATATAAAATGTTATGAAAAGAAATACATATTATATAATAATTCTTCACGTATCTATCGTAAATAAATTTTCATTATTATAATAACTCTTTCATTATTCTCTTCTATTATTGAAAACAGCTTTTCATTAGAATTTTTCACTACAATATTCGTTATAACAAGTATTTTCAATTGTAACATAATATGCATAAAACATAAAAATTTCCTTGTTGAAATCTGAACATCTGAATAAATATTTTTCTCAGATTTCATTTTCCACTATCTAATATTTACTATTATTTTATCTATCCGTTCCATGCAGTTATACAAGTATCGTTTTTCTCTGTGAATGTTACCAGGTGATATGACCGGAAAAGAAAGTTATTATACGGTATATGCAGGACACGAAGTCATGTATCACGTGAGTACAATGCTTCCTTATTCAAAGGACAATCCACAACAGCTGGAAAGAAAGCGACATATCGGTAACGATATTGTTAACATCGTTTACACGGACGATCTTGACGCCATAGACAGTTTCAACCCGAATTGCATTAGAAGTCAATTTACTCGTAAGTTTCTAAAATTCATGGGAGACACCTATTCTCTATATCTACCTCTCTTCTACTTAGCGTAAAATTAGATTTAAACTTGACTGGAGTTGTACAAACGAATATGGACGAATTCAGCCGAACTTTAACGAATTAGAAAGAAACAGATATATTGCCTCTAACTTATCGTTTCATCTCACGTACGCGGATTTAAAAAGTCTGAAAATTAAAACGTCTTTTTTTTTGTTCAAATAACTTGATGAAAAAGTATTTATTTCAAAACGTATTTTTCGAAATATCGTAATTGGATCGATATTAATCTTTATCCATGTTTATGAATGTAGATGTATTTGCGGTGGTGTCTGCCGAAGAAAATGACAAAGGATGGCGAGTGGCAATTTACTGCGACGAAAATGTTCCTCTATTCGGGCCAAGCCTTCCTTGTCCACCCGTCTTTGAGGATCCATATACTCTGCGAGAATTTCTTCTCGTGAAATTAATAAATGGCGAAAAGGCTACGTTCAACACGCCAACATTTGCCCAAAAAAGAGAAAGAACATTAGATGCCCTTCTTCGAGATATGTATCAAGAACATTCGCAGGAAAGTAAGAGCAACGTAAGTGTATTTAACAATATAATACTTTTACATTGATATTTTCATAGATTTTTCCCTGTAAGTAATATCTTTTAATTTCCTTTTCAAAGAACAATTCACAAATAAAAGAAATTTCAAACACAATTATTAATATCCACGTACAATAATAATAAAATAATCGCACGAAGCAGATTTAGAAGATATTTTTCTTTTACTTCGCATAAAAATGTAAGAGTTGCACTCTTCCATCCAATTCAATCTTGCAATAAATCCTAGCACATTCACCTAGCGAATAATCGTAAGAAAGAAGAAAAATCCGTAAAGAGAAAATTTTTGTCTTGGCTGTATGTCCCCTCTCCCCCGTAGAAAGGAAAATCGATCGAATTTTCACAGAGTATGTTAAACCGACGAGCATTGTCGGATGTCGTGGAGGCTCCAGGTCGACGTCGCGAGGAGACACGTGCTGTGGAGATGGTGCGCGTTGGCCAAGCTCTGAAGTTGGAAGCAATCGTGAGAGGTTTGGCGCCAACTTCTTTGGCCACGGCTGGCCCGTTGAAGCCAAGACCCTGGGAACCGAGGTGCATCTATCCTGACTTCCCCCACGAGGTTGTCTGCGGAGATGTTTGGCTGGATAACAAATTGATCCTTGCTAGCGAGAATGGAACTTTTTTAATCGAAGGTAAGATGTAAATTTTTTTTTTTTTCTTGTAATAAATTCACGTTCAAATTCTCCGTTACATTGTGATTTTTTTTTTTTTTATTCCAGATAGCTTGTCTCATAGACTAATCTTTGACGAATCCGTGCAAATAAAACAACTGGATGTAATCGAGCAACATGGAATATTATTGTTCCGTGCCGGCGACAAAGGCAAAGAAAGCAACATCTACGTTTTCCGTCTAAAAGAATTCGAGAACAATACGGCGAATAGATCGGCCGAGGTGTTGAACGATCGTGAGGATGACCAAGAATACGAAAACAATGGCGACGAGAATGACGCGGACGATGATGCTGATGAAAGCGAAGAGAATGATTACGACAATTTCACGCGGGCTACCGCGAAATTTAACCGGTAATTCGTCGAACTCATGCTCGTGTACGCCCTTTGGCTGTTCGAGGACGAGCCCATATAAAAGAAAGGAGATTACCTAGAGCTCGGGGCTGTCATTTATATGCCATTACAATGCCTGGTGGTTCTCATTTGCGCATGGTAAATATTCCTTTTGTATTATTAATTCTTTAACGATTCGATCAATCAATATCTGTTGTAAAGCTGAACAAAGAGATAAAATGTTCATTAGCATTATGGTTATTCATCAGTGAAGATACATTCCACAGAAATGTATAAATTTTCTATTGTTAAATATATCATAATAATTGATACTTTTCTAATATGATAATAAATGATAATAAATCTAACTGATGATATTTTATATTTTAGTGTGCGGTAGTAGGACGACGTTTAACAGTTCTTCAGTGGAAACATAACGCTGCATGGACCGCGTGGTGTTCTGCCGCAGACACAGACACTGTCGAGGGTTTTTTGCATTTAAAAGACTTCAACGCTAGTGAAACCCCATCGTTAGTAACGATAATTGAAAATACAGATTCGAGCAATGAATGGACACTTTGCTGCGGTATTCGACATCATTTTGAGCTAATCTCAGCCTCTGGAAGCACAAGGATTCTTCATATTGAAGGAATGCCGAAACCGCATCTAGTAGCAGCATTGGATCTTTGTGAAGATGAGGAACCTGAATTACTACTTTGTTACAACAGTATGTAACTTATTATGTAAATTAATCTCAAGTTTTAATACATTCTTGAATTATTTGTGCTTTAATTAGTTGTCGAAATTTATTTCTTTTTTTTCTTTTTTAAAAGATCAATTTTTTTAAAGTTTAATCAAAGATTAAACAATATAAAAATTAATAATTTATTCTTAATGTCTATTAATTTATCATAGATACGTGTCATTTTCAAAAGCTCCTGGAAGAAAATACCGCACCAACGGAATTCGATTTTAATTGGAATTCCGTACCGGCAGCAATAGGTAAAATTTTATTTTATTTACTTATATTTTAATATAATATTCCTATTAAATATATATATATATATTTTTTTAATAACCTCGACTAATTTGTAGCTTGTGCCTTTCCCTACGTGATCGCCTTTACCAATGATACCATGGAAATACGATTGATAATCAATGGAAATTTGGTACATACAATCGCTATGCCAAATTTAAATCTAATCACCTCGAAGCAAGATATCTTCTTCGCTACAACAGCGCCGGAGTTTTTGCCAGGAAAATGCGAAAGAATCCGACTGGATTCAAAGCCCCCAGACAAGGAGGAATCGGTTTCCAGTCCTCCTCCTTTCGCACAATCTTCGTCGTCTCGATCTAATCTACAAAGTATGCGCTATCTTTTTAAAACCGATCATAATTTTCCAACTATTTGCACAACATGAATGAATGTTTCATAATACAACTGTTTAATACATATCTGAGTTAACGATTACAAGTTCTACAATAATGATAGTTATGAATTATAAATTTTTTTTTATAAAGAAATTATCAGTAGTATTGTTAATATCGATAAAAAATTGATTTCTAAAAAATGAAGCAGGAAAAGATAAATCAGGAAAGCAAAAAAGAAATAATTGAATAAAATAATTAAATCGATGAAATATATCAATTGTATCAATAGAGATGTAAATACATATATTGTTTGGATCAGTTCAAAAAAAATCGGATAAATTCGGGCAAAGTATTCGTAATATCGAATAGACCGATAAGTCTAAGTAAAATCAGTAATGAATGTATTAAATATAGTATGTAATAGTTTACATCAGAATATTATTATAATTTTGAATAAAAAATGTATTTTCTTTTTTATAGATAATCAGAGCGACTGGAAACCAATAAGAATCTATCAAATACCATTGCAAACATTATCGAGAAGTACTTTATCGACTTGCTCGCAACGACGATGTCCCAGTCCAGGAGAATCGGAAATCATCTCTTCTGCACCACCAACCACTGATAAAAGTTTTCTCAGTGTTGAACCTCACAGAGCATTGAGCAGATCATGTAGCAGCAGTCCAACACCAACGCCGACAACTTTAATTCCTCCACGGTTCAGAAAATAGATTAAATCGCGATCGAGAAGTTTCTTTTAGTGATGTTTTAAAAGATCGCAGCTGTACCTGACGCTCGTGCCTCGGTAGGATTGACAATGGATAATGCACAATTCTATGCATTTAAAAAAATGTAGCTAGAACTTACTGCCGTTGCAAAGAGCAATCGAGACAAGTTTGCTATAATAGATAACGTAACCATACGTGCAAGAAGTGTCCTTGGTGTTTTTTAAGTCAAGAGAAATCTTTTTTGTTAGATATGCTTTTCTTCCATAGTTTTTTAAATACAAACGTGTTTCTTCTTTTTTTTTTTTTTTTTTTTTGCTATTTTCTTTGTCGAGTAAC